CACTCAGCCCCGAGAATGCGGCCGCCGGCTCCTCCGGACCTCGCCCTCTGTGCCCTGGGGCTGCTAGTGCAGCCCGGTGACAACCGTGGGGTGAAACGGGGAGGGAGGGAGGGAAGCGACGTGCTCCAGCTGAGCGTCTGTCTCCTCGCCTAATCCGGCAGGTGCTGAGGCATGAGGAGTTCGAGGAGGGCTGCAAAGCCAGCTGCAACGGGTGAGTGCCCGCAGCCCCTCCCCAGCACGTTGCTTCCCATAAAAGACCTGCTGTGTATCGTTATTTCATCTGTAAAACAGGGGTTTGGTTGGGTTGTGTTGGGGGGTTTAAGTATAAGGAGGCTGGAGAGGGGCTCTTCATCAGGGGTGGTAGTGATAGGATAAGGGGTAATGGGTCTGAACTTAAACGAGGGAAGTTCAGGTTAGATATAAGGAAGTTCTTCCCTGTGAGGGTGCTGAGGTGCTGGCAGAGGGTGCCCCGAGAAGCTGTGACTGCCCCATCCCTGGCAGTGTTCAAGGCCAGGTTGGACACAGGGGCTTGGAGCAACCTGCTCTAGTGGAAGGTGTTGGAACTGGATGAGCTTTAAGGTCCCTTCCAACCCAAGCCAGTCTGGGATTCTATGGTTTTACTCCTTATAGGATCATAGAAAGATGAAAGAAATCTTACAGCCTGGTGCCGAACCGCTTACTTTTCTTAATGAGAAAGTGCTCATATAATTCCAGTTAATGAGCAGCTTGTGCTCTGAAAATGTGAGTAGTTTGAAAGGAAGCAGAAGTGCTTTTGTTGTATGGTCATGAACTACGGGCAAAGGTCAAAAGTATTGCTGAGCTGGGAGGAGAATAGGTATCAGCTCCTACTTGGTGGGAGGTTACTGGGTTACCTGTACCATTTGTTTACTCTAGAAATGCAATTCTTCCTTGAAACACAAGTACTTCAGTTCTTGAGGTTTGTTTCCAATGCTCATGACAATTATATATGGATGTTCCAGACCTTATGATGGAAAATGGAGCAAAACGATGGTGGGCTATGGGCCAGAAGACAACCACTTTGTTGCAGAATTGACTTACAATTATGGAATTGGAGAATATCGCCTGGGCAATGATTTTCTGGTAAGTACCACACTTAGCAGCAAGACCTGTCTTCTTACGAGCATTTTATTTTTACAGTTAGGAGTCTGACATACAGGTTATACCAGTTGCTTTTTTTATGCTGTTTGGTCCCTTAAACGCTTTTTATTCTTGCTTTTGTAGTTGTCTCTAGATTGGA